CGCAGGTTGCCCTTGCTCTATTGAGCTCCAACAGGGAAGGTACGGGGGGGATGGGGAGTTAGGGGGGGGGGGGGGGGGGCGGGGGGGGTACTCATAGTCGTGCATGCCGTAGTCGTTAGACCATTGACCTCGCACCCCTACAAAGCCGGGACGGAGCACGCCGGGTTCTCACCGGACCAGGCTCTCACATCACCAAGCGCGAAGCACCGTGAGGTATTCGGCGAGTCGCATGAAGGGTGCGCTGCATCCTGCTAAGGGTGTTCGGCATCTTGTGCTTACTTCCTTGCGTACGGATGACAGCTGCGTATGACTTAATTTATTTTCTGGCGCTTTCACTTCCAGAGACAGTTAACACTGTGTAACTGCCTCGAGGGCGCTTTACCATTTTAACACAACGTGGTGCGATCATCCCCCTTGCGCGGAGTGAGGGTTCTCGACCCCGCACAACATGATCTACTCGACCACCATAATGGTTACCGCAAGAAAAAAAAAACAGAGGTAATAAAAAAACGGTAACCTGGTTGCCGAGTTCACGAAGTGAATTGGCTTGTTTTACAACGTCGTTGCCATGCGACGAAAACCCAATCCCGATGGCAAGCACCGGGGGGAGGGGATACCCACGCATCGTGTCACGAATAGCCAACCTGTTGATAGGCAACGCAGGGAGGAGTACGCAGAGAAAATGCTCGAGAGAACGGGGACCGTGCTCCTGGTCGGGTTGACCCGTACGGAGAAGGGGTGCTTGCGACTTGGTCGAACGCACTCGTTGACCGGAATGTTCCTGAAAACTTCGTACAACGGAAGCGGAGATATGGCATCGCTCCGGTGTTGTGCGGGCAAGTATCTCCTCGAGATGCACCTAACCACGGAACCACGTGCAGAACGCTATTCTAGAACCGCTCCCCGGGTGAAGAAAGGCTTTCCACATCGGATGGGTAGGCGTGTTGGTTGGGGAAAATCTGGGATGCATACTTGTACTCCACGGGATTGCGTCGCGCTGCCGTGCTGGGAAGCAAGACATGTGTTTACCCGTACACCCTACTCTACGTACACCAAACTCCAACTATCTGGAGCAAGTCGCTTGATCCCGCGGTGTCTATCCGTCTAACCCGCTCCTACAAGAGAAACCATCCCCGCGCCAACCCCCCCCCCCCCCCCCCCCCGCCGCCAATAGTAATGGCCCCGTCCGCGACGCCTCACACATGAAAGTGGAAGATAGTACCGGCAGATTTTAACCACCCCAAAAGTAGCGGCGTTGCTTCTTCTCGAAAGGCTTGCGTGCCCAGTGGGATATGGCTAAAGGCTATACCTTATCTCCCCCCCGCGCGCCGCCCCCCACATGCGGTCAGGTCGAGGCGATTGCACAATGGACTCCCTTTCGGAACAAGGTGCGTGCACTGAAAGCTCAAACCCGCATTTCCCTAGCGGTCTGCATCGGGTAACAGCCATGCCAAAAGTGTTCATGTAGGCATCGTTTGTTCTGGCAGGAAGAAGAATAGTGTATGCATTTTCTCGTGTGATGTTGCGTCAAGTAACCTGCCATCTGGCACGAAGAGAGGAGGCGTGCACGTGTGTCGTAGCCCCGACGGTTGCTGTTGATGTGCGAGAGCCAATTTGTCGCATCATTCCCAGGATATGTTTCTCATCTTGGTCACAACACACCTACGCCCATACTACCAACCCCTTGTCGCCCAACAACAGACCTCTTATGCGCCCCTTTCCGTGCCCCCCTTGTCTCTCCCCTGCTGCGTTCATTGTTCTGCCGATCGTCTTCGCGCGTGTCCGACCAATCAAACGCCCTGGTGGGCGTGGGCCCGGGACGCGAAAAACAACCGCGTTCGGGTATTTTTTCGTGCGCTTGTCTTGCGAACGTGCGCGCCGAACACCTACTCCTCGCCCGCTCGCTTTCGCTCTCCTGCACGCTTCGTGCTGCGACTGCCTGTGGCTACAGCTAGCGTCACCTTGCCAATCGGACAGACCGTCACCAAGGATGAGGTGCGGCGAGAGCGAGAGGGGGTTGTTGAGTCTCGTCGTCGATGCGAACGAGGGTGGTAGCGGGTATCTCTCGGGATCCTTTGTATGACGCAGTCGAGGTTGGGTATTACGGCGCTGGCCCAGCGTAGCCCGGACCACCCACATGAAATAACAAGGAACTTCGTACCCCGCCCCCATGAAGTCTGATGCTGTACTTCGTACTGTAGTACAACGAGTGTTTCATTCACCTGCTGTCTGCCCCATTGCCTCTCCATCGAGTTTCTTAGGGACACAGGACTAGGGTTCCAACGCCAGCATATGATGTACCTCTCCCTCTTGTACGGGTAGGCGCAAACCGCAGTAGTTGCAGGTCTCTCTCGCCCTCTCGCTCTCCGAGGCGGCAGCAGTAGCAGCACTTCTCGATCTCCTCGTTGCCAAACCCGCGTCGTGGTCACTCTTTGCTCCGGCTCCGGACGGGCATGTAAATGCTTCACGTGCCTTGGTACCCCCTGGCACCCCTCCTACGAATTCCAACATGCTCGTGGCGTCATTGCAAAGATGGCCACTTTGCTGAGTCTCCCGCCCCCGCGGGCGTTTCTTTTTTCGTCCCGTGCTGTCTTGTCCGCAGTACCGGCTAGCGTGCGAGAACAGCATGGGGGACACAACCGTCGGCGAGACTTCCCTCCACGACGGGAAGGTGACCACGTAATTGAGACCGTGTTGATTCCCTACTTGTGTTCTTGTACAAGTTTTTTCCATGCGGTGGTCAGTCAGGAGTAGATTGGTGAGACGGTCCAAGTCTCTCTTTTGTTAGTTTCAGTATGAGATGTGAGATAAGATGGGTGTATTTTGAAAGGCTTTTGGTTCCGCCCAATAAACAGGTAGGCGAAAATGTAGGGTTTATTCAACAGCCACGCAAGCAACTGACCTTTGGCCGCGCTTTGGAGAGGCTTGGGTGCGGGAGAAACATTTGCCTTCTGCCCTTCCGCGATTGGGCGCTTCTTTGTTGTGTTACCGTACCGGACAGCCGTGCGCACGAAAATATTGACACCGGAGAAGGTGGTGGTGGTCGAGTAGCAGAGTGCCGCCCTTGCGGCGACGCGTACTTGCCTGATTCGCTCATGTTTGAGTTTAAGCTCCTAGTGTTGTCAGCCCCCTCGCGGCCATCTAGACTTGCTTCCTTCAGAATGAGAGCGAGTTATCCCGCGCTCTGCCTTACACGTGCCGACACATACCAATAGTCTGGGTGTGATCGGGGAAGCACTATAACCATGTCTGCCGGAAGCAAAAATAATCGTCTCTCTGCCTGTTTTTTTGTTCGTTTGATATTTTTCAGTTGGTCTCGATCGACAGGGTGAACTTTAGCGTCGAGGCGATGGTGACGGCAAAGGCGACATCGCTCAAGGTGCGTACTTCCCCTTCCTTTTCAGTATTTTTTCATGCCTCTACAAGTTTTGTTTTGTACCACATATTTGCGTACTTCAGCTTCCTTTCGGTATGTTTTCGTGCCTCTATTTTTTTGTTTTTTGCACAAACTCTGAGTATTAGCGTACTTTTCGTTCCTCTCAGTGTGTTTTTTTGCCTACATATTTTTCGGGATTTACCAAATACGCTGAGTACATGTTTTCGTGCCTCTGTTTTTGTTTTTTCGTTTTTTCCACATGATCGTACCTTTATTTTCCTTTCGGTATGTTTTCATGCCTCTATTTTTTCGAATGGTTCATGTTACGCTGTAACAGTTCTCGCCGAAGAGGTTTCCAACTCGGCACCGCTTGGCGCAGGTACATACCCCCCATCCGTTGTAGACAATCGGCTGTGAACCCGTGCTCACGCCCAATTCTGGCAGCGAGTCCTAAACAGTGTCTAGGCATATCTCTTCAACACTTTATATTCGGTTGTACTATTCATTAGATGGCATACACCAGTTGGCGCGGTTTCCCTGCTTGGCGTTGTCTGTCTTGGAGGTGGTGAGACTTGTGTATTTTGTTAACGTGAACCGTGTTTATGTTGGTCTGTGACGATGTGCCTCAGCTTTCTCCATCTAGAGTCAAAACGCATGCTGACTTGTCTATCGGTTGAACATGAGGAGGTGGTTTTTTGTTTCGAACTACTACAACAACATTAACAACAACAGTAACAACAACCGCAACACCAGCAGCAACTAACGGGTTGCGTCGTGCTTGTGTGGTTTCCCCCTGCTGCCTTGGACATCGCTGCACTTCCTCGACCCAAGCCCATTGGAAACGGAAGGAGCGACCCACTCTTTTACATTTGAGACGACGATATCCCGGGGTTTCTATGTGGCTTCCTAAAACAACCAGGACAAATCGCGATCCGCTTGATGTCTTCTTGGCCAACATAGAAAAGCATCACCACCTTTTTCTTGCCTTAGTATCAACGTGAAGTTGCTCATCAAAGTGTTTGAGACCATTCGCACGTGGGTGTTGTGCTCGTCTGTTTCAATTCCTTCGGGGCAGGACACGCATGTAAATTGCACACCTTAACTCTCCCCCTGCGACACCCACCCTACCCGTTCCCCCCGCTCTGCGGCACGGGCCCCCCTGCTCCACCCCAGACCGGCTTCCAGCAAGACGTCAGCTACCCCGCGGCTTTTTTCATGACGATCGACCTCAGGACAAATAAGGCAAGAAGGAAAAACTACAAACTACATTTTGAGCCTGCTTTTATGCATCACCTTCTGCCACTTGGAAATGAGTTGATGACGTCCGTGTGTCGAGTTTTACGTTTGGGCACAGAACGTATCCGCTTGACACACGTGAGCGTCATGGCATCTACACTAGTGGGCCAAGGTTTTCGCTCGGGTCACAGCTATGCTTGCGCGATGTGGGACGGCCTAAACATGCATAAAGTTCTTCATGCTCTCGCCGTGTTCATTTCGCGGGGTTAGGCTGATCGGTCTACTCCTCACACCCGCTCCCCTTTTTGGACCGTAGTTGTCTTAAATTGACGGGGGTGGGGGAGAGGGAAGGCGGCTTTTTGCATCTGTTGGAACGTGCGGTGGAACTTCGGCCTCGCGCCCCGGTAGCGCAAACGGAACGCTAGGCGCAGGTTTGGAGGTTTTGCGTTCGAGTACGGTTGTCCCGGCAACGAACGAAAGTCTTTCACCACTGTACCTTTTCGGCCAAGATAACAGTTGATTCCAACCGGCGGCCTATCGACTTGAAGTCGTGCATTCGACGAAACCGAACTTTAACATGATGTCCCCACCCCTTTTCCTCATGACGTCACGCCGGGGACCGACGAACCTCCCCAGTTAGCTGAAGTGCGCATGTACGCGCAAAATATCGCCCTGCTGGCGGCGAGGGGGTACACCATGGTGAGCCGTCAATAGTCCGTGCCGGCGAATCAAGTCGCGAATGAAGTCCAATACTTTTATTGTACCCTTGCCACGCAAATAGGCAGATGCTTTTTTCTGTGCGTGAAGAATGGAAGAGCCCCCCGTTTTTCCTTTTCATTGTTTCAAAGTGAGTTATGTAGTCCCATTGTTTTGTTGGGATGGGGGTGGGGGGTGGGGGGCTCGGCGTGTCCCACGCCTCACATTTCGGCCCTATCCCGGTGGACGTACTTCGTATGTACTCACCCCTCACACTGCCCCCGATGGAAAGATTGGTTGTAAGATAGACGTCCTTTGGGGGGTACCGCATGGTAATGATGCTAGTCAGTGTTTGCGCATGGTCCACTTCTCCGTAATACTTCGAAGTAGAGGTTACTGCTGTCTTACAGGTAGCGTGGCGGCCTGAATGGGTTGTGAGTTGTGAGTTCGTGCGTTGACTGCCCAGGCGTAGATGGGTGAACGGATACTGCAGTACCGTCCTTTATGATTGAAGCAAGAAAACAAACATTTTTTTTTCTCTGTGGCGTGCTCCTGATTCCCATTCTATCACACCATCTCTCTCTCTCTCTCTCTCTCCCTCCTTCGCTGCCGACCGTTTGTAACCCACCTTGTCCTCCCTATCGCATATCGCACACGTCCGCCCCCACGTGTGTATGAAACCGACGATAATCAGATCCCATCTAGCAGCTATGGTCCGGTCATCCGCCCGGTGTGATGATGATGCGGTGCACAACCGTTCTGTTGATGGAGTATTTTGGTTTCTTCGGCGAGCAGAAGTACTTCTAGGGGGTTGAGAGTTGGGGTGACGTTCGCGTAGTCTTGTGGTGATGGACTGGTTTGCATTTTCGGCACGTTCCCTGCTTATAAATACTCTCCCGGAAATGATCCGCGGCAAGATCGGATTTGTACATTGTCCCGAACGGGCGTAGTCTTGCTCCGGTCGTAGACTTACTACGGAGTGTGGATGTCGTTTTGTAAATCGTGGTGGTGTGGTGTTTCGTATCGCGCAATGGGAGAGGCTTCCTCCTGCAGCGGCGCCAGTGCGCACTATATCTATAATTTATTTTGTCGGCAAAGCAGGCGACGACGCCATCGTTTGTTGCTAGATACGGGCTCGACGATTTATCCCACCTTTGTTGTGTTCTGGAAAGTTACCTTTCATGTGTTCAACTACTTGTACGGGCCGGCTGCGGCTGAGGCTGCGGCTGCGGCTGCTGCATGTAGATCCACAGAGTGCCGAAGACCATCATGGTGGGGCCACGAACAACGGGCTCTTCGACGTTTGTCAACATACATATCCAAGCTCATACATCGAACCGGGCAAGCTGTGATCAGAAACAGTGTAGCAACCCCGTCGATTACGAGTAGCTACCAAAGGTACCAAGAGTCCAGAGACCCTTCGTCCTATTGAAGAATCAGATTGGATTGTGTCCTGAATCAGGTGATCGATGTGAAGACGCTTTATTTTTGGCCAGGCCATCGACATCGGTATGACACTTCTTGTGCGAAAAAGGATTTGCGAGAAGAAGCTTCAGATCAAACTGGCAAGGTTTTCCCTTCGGCTCTTTATCCAGCGCGAACAAAAGCAGCCAAAGCCTTTGTATGTAAATGGCTACTCTAGCCTGACAGGCTACCTCGTTCTCTGCTGAAATGAAATGATTCCGGTGTGTTCTCCGAAACGTGTCAAATCTGGCGTCAAGTCTGTTTGAAAATACACCCCAGCACTCGTGCTGTACGATGCAAGCACAGCGGTGCGTTCACCTTCTACGCGTACGATGGATCGCGCACCACGGGGAACACCTGCTACAACACACCGCATGCAACTTATTCTGCTTATTACAGCACAACGGTTGCCCTTTCGGAGATGTGCGGCGCAACTCTCTCTCTCTCCCTCCATCTATCTCTCTGCCGCTTTTTCGCCACCGGGCCGTCGGCACGTCTGCATTGCACAGCAGCAGCACGCAGAGGCAGTGGTAGCGCTCTAAAGGAGACTCGGAGATTTTAGACTGGTTCGGCCGCCGTCACACAGGCAGGGTGTTGCTGGAGAGGAGTGGCGAACACACGGAGGTGCTTGATTTGGCGAGGATCGCATCGCTCCTTACCCACACGCCGGAGAGAGTAGCGGTGAAAAGAAAGCCGGCGAACTCTCTCGGTTGCCCATCTGACGAAAGGATAAAGCACACGAGATGAAGAGGGCGGATAGCAAGCGACTGAATGGGAACGGCACCACGACAGCGGCTCTTTCCCAAGGCGGCGTTGGTGGTGCAAGCGAAGTCAGACATCGCAGGCTCCCGTTCCGGCTGAAGCACAACAGGGTGAGGAAAGCAGTGAGTGCCAGGCGTTCGTTCTTGCTTAATACAAGATTTTCGTGTGTGTCGGTGCGCACTTGATTCTGTCATTTTTCCGTGTTCCCCGAAGAGAGCGGTCATTCCCTTGGGCCGCCCCTCCCGCCTCACCCCGCGCGGGGTTAGCCCTTCCTAGCTGCACACACCCCCAGGTGCTACCTTCGAAGCCTCTCTGTGCCGATCGACCAAAAGGGGACAGCGGCAGCAGGTGGTGCGAAGACCGCTATCGCGACCTGTTTCATCTTTTTGCGCCTGCACGCGGCCAACAACAAATCGTACGTTGGTGTATAGCACCGGTCCGCCGACGCCTCCGTTGTCCATATATAGGTAACATCCACGACACACCGAACCGTCATGAAATTTACGGCTCACCCCCGGCAGGGGTGTGTGATGCAATCAACCCTCCCGCACGCGCACGCGGATGCTGACGCAAAGTCAATCTGCCGCACGACGGGGCTAGTGAAGGCGCTCGGGTTATATTGCTTTTTGTTTGGCATAGAAAAGAATGCCGGCCAAGAGCGCCGGCGAGTCGACCACACGCATCGATTGTACCCCCGCCCGTACTTCCGACGCACACGCGGCAGAGGTCTTCTATGAGGAAGCATCCCCCCCCGCAACCATAGCAATCGTTTTATGCATACAGTGATAGTGCCAGCATCGAGGACTGCGGCGTTGTGAGGGTTGTCCACCAAGCGTGGCATGCCGTTATTCGTACTCGGCTGCTGTGAAAGTGGGAGCACTAATGTATTCTGCCGGACTATGTTTGAGGCTGAAGTACTGCTGTAAGGTAGTCCACAGTTCTCCACCAAAATCCTCATGTATCTACAGCAGTATCTGTAATATGTGTACGTGTAGCACCCCTGTGCCGTATGCGTATAGGTACTTTCCGTAAAGGAGAGGGCGTGCGGAATTCGGTGTTGGGGAGAGTGGCGCCCACCGCGCTTTAGACATGGAAGGCATGAAATACCCCCACAGGAGGAGCAAGAACTTTTTTCAGTGTTTGAAAGTGGAACATCGAACACGAACACGACCTTCATCTACTTGTAGAAGGACCATCTTGCGAGAGAAACTTACTTCATCCAACGTTTTTCCTACTTGAAGTACAAATTATTTTCGGAGGGCAAGAGAGCTACAGTACACTACTTCACTATGTAGTCGCAACAACACGGGTGAGTGTTCGTCAACCGGTGTAGTTGGTTAGTACATGCGGCAAGGTGGTAATCTAAAAATATCGAGTACGTACACGGAGCTACAACGTACGGCTTCGCCGGACCGTGAGCTAACGTTGAGTTCTTCTTTTGCATACCTCTGGTGCATTTGTTATTTTGCTCTTGTTCATCACCAGCTGTTCATCACCTTCAAAGTACCCGCGCCTATGGACAGCATGCCGGGTAGGGTATGCATAGGAGCTGGCTCTCCAAGCCGTGTTCACACCACAGACGGGTTCCTCTTCTGTGGTGCTTGCCCTGGGTTTTTTTCTCGAGAAAAGTGAAGAAAAGTGCAGCACTCTCTTCTCCTCGCATGTGTATAGCGCCATTTCCACAACCGAAACTGAAGCGAGAGAAACACTCATAAAATGAATGCCCACAAGAATCATTGTTGTTTTGCTCAACCATCGTCGAACTCCCTGAGAATAGTTGCAACAGCTAGCATGCAGAGGGGAAGGGGCGGCTGGACCCTATTCGCGATAAAAATAAATTCAGCACGCACAGCAGAGGGCCCCTGGAGGAAGGTGGGGCATATAAACATATAATATGAACAAGAAATAATAAGCCCTGGTTTTTACGAAAAAATTGCTATTGGTAGTTGTACGAAAAAAGATGTAGTACACGTCTCACCACGAAAAATGGGGGGACTGTCGCCATAAATTAGGCGAAAACACATTACGTACGTCACGTGTTCTTTTATGTGTAGAATGCGTATCAAAGGTGAGAGCCCGTCGCCCTGGTAGTCTAGTTGCCATCCTCGCAACGTTCTACTACTGTAGTGGCCAGGTCAGGTGTTCGAATGCACGTGTCAGCGAGCTTTTTCTTACAAAATGATGTATTTCCCGCAACAGCAGTAGTATTTCCTCAAGAAAAGCTTGATTGATTTCCCCACTTTTTGATTGACTGGGTTGATTTGACTCTTTTTATTGCTGGCTTCATTCAACGGGCTCTCGGGGCTCATGCAGCATGCGTAACGCACACGATTTCATGGCGGAAGGATAGTACAGCAGTGTGGATGAGTCTCATGTGTGGGTGTGGGGCTCACAGGGATTGGGGGTGGGGGGTGGTGGGGGTGCTCATAGTCGTGCATGCCGTAGTGGTTAGACCATTGACCTCGCATATCCCCACAAAGCCGGGACGGAGCGCGCCGGGTTCTCACCGGACCAGGCTCTCACATCACCAAGCGCGAAGCGCCGTGAGGTGTTCGGGATGGGGGCGCGGGTATATCCAAGGGTGGCAAACAGGAGTAGTACAACTGCTGTACAGCAGGAATGTGAGGAGAGAGATGATGCACAGAAGTATGTGAGCATTTGCACGCCTCTCTCTCTGGCAGCAACCATCCGCACAGAGGATGTACCTGTGCGAGCAATACCTGCTGGCACAAGGACCTTCTTTGCCTCACTCGTCCATGGGCAGAGGATACAGCAAGCGCATGTATATGAAAGCTGCGCTAGACGCGAAAACGTTCAAGGGAAACCGCCTCACGCGCGCTCCAGATCGATGCAGTGGTTTTCGGCTCTCTCAGCAAGTTGAGACCACCATCTACTGTCGCACGAAATGTAGCCACGGTAATTATTTTAGCTTTCGAAGAGAGAGGGGAAATCGCAACTGCTTTCCTCACGAACACCCTTTGCCACAGCGAGAAGTTGCACAGAACACACGAACCTCCTTTCACTCCCATTACTGGAACCGCACCCACCACGTCACGACAACAGCACCGAGGCAGTGCGTTACTGCTTTTAATCGCGTCGGCTCCGGCGTACGTTGTCTCTGCTCTCTCGCCCGCACGCGGGACCGGCAGGGTCGATTGCATTCGAACGTCTTGTGTACCCGCCGTGGTATTTCCCGTCTTAGATCTTACCGCAGTAGGCAGTCCATTGGCTTTGGGAAGGGCATCATGCCCCACGTCCTGAGCGCCAGTTCACTAGTGAGTTCGAGGCTCACCTCTCGGCATATTCACGTACGGTTGACGCACCAGCCGAGGCCATAGGCGGAAGGCAAAACACAGGGCTTATTTATAAGTCGTTTTTTGCCCCAAGTGGTGAAACGTTACAGAGTTTTACCAGGTGTGCACAGCACAAGCCCCCACCCGCGCGCATCAGCCCCCTCCGTCCCGGCTTTGTAGGGATGCGAGGCCTATGGTCTAGCAACTACAGCATGCACGGCTATGAGTATACCCTGCACCCCGGGCGCGCAATGGTCCAACCGCTATGGAATGCAAATCATGAGTACGTCCCCCTTTCCCCCTCGCGCCTCCGCCACTGCTGTGTGGCGTTTCTCCAGGGACGCGGGACATTTTGGATGCTGGTACGAATAGTGTTTGGCTCTCTGGGGGTGGTTGCCATGGTGACGTTGTGTACAAGCGTGGCCAACCTGGACGGAACACGAGAGAGTGGACATACGCGGGGAGATGATTTTAAGGTAACATCAGTGCAGCATCTGTCCGCGACGTTGCGCGTGCTCCGCTGGTGACTGATGGTCGGGCAGGAGAACTACCCCTTGTTGTTGTTGGTAGTGTTTTTAGTTGCAGTGATAGGCACGGTTTTGCGACCCGCAATGTCAGGAGGAGATACGGCCATAACTAGGGCAGGTCGCCAATTGGCGGCATAGTGGTCATGGTGCAGTGGTGCCATGCAATTTTGTGGTCGCTACGCGGTGCATGTTGCTACACAGGGGGCCGCTAAGCCGGGCCAACCGCTGTACGGTACCCCCCACTTGGAAAATCAGTACGCAACCGACCCAGTTGATACTGCATCCTTGCTGATCCGACCTTTGGAGTAGTCGACTCCGCTCCCTAGTAGTCACTGGGGGGGGGGTTCATCCGGCCTTGGCAAGAGCCGACTCCCCTCCAGGGTCACTGGGGGTGTTGAGCACAAGACCAGATGATAATTACTACCGCAAGCGATATCTGCAGTGTATAGGATAAAATAGACTTGAAATACGCCCAGTACCCGGCCGGTTTCCCTCCACTCACTGTACAGACTCCAACACAACCCGTTCGACTGGGGTTATGTCTCGAATGGGTACAATTGTAGTCGTTCTGTGTTTGTGTTTATGTTTCCTAAAACGATGTACTCCTTGTGTCGGTCTCGTCCTCTCTCTACTTTGTTGTCACACTTGTTGGTTCCTAGGTTGTCATCTCTTGGTTGCCCCTCATGTTTTCCTGTTCTTGACCGCCTGTCTCTGTTTTCTCTCATGTATCGTGGCTTCTCAGGAACCAGCGCCCCCGGCGGGGTTTCGGTACGATACGGAGGCCGACTCTTCGCGAGGGGATGCAGGTGTGGGTCGCTGTCGAAACACTGCTGTACTTCTAAATGTTTTTGTTTTCTTCTTACAGGCACACATCAAACTCATATCTCCCACAGCCAATATGTGTGGAATATGTTAGCGACGAACTCGTAGCTGTATGATGACCAAGCTGTTTTTCTCATGCATCTCCAGCGGCGAACAGACCCACGTTTTTTGGTGTCGATATCTACGCTACAGGTAGTGCCGTCATTTTTCGTTTGTGGCTTTGTTTCTTTTCCCTGTGCGACAGATTTTTTTAGTTGTTGAAAGAGGAAAATTGTTTATTGCAAGACACAGACGGCGGTGGCCGCGGGTGCAGAAAAACGAAGCTCAACCCTTTGACCCTTAGTGTGACGCTTGTTTGTTTGAAGGCACGGGACTGCGGACCATTACCACCACCCCCAACTGACCCCCCAACTCCTGTTCGTAGGAGTAACATGTAAACCCAGCTCCGCGACAGTAGTAGCACCATTTGAGGTCAACGTCGTAGCACGATGGTCAGAAACGCCGATGTTGAGATGGCCTCGGGCACACAATTAAAGCCTTTGCTTTGTTGGCAACCATCATCAACGGTACCCGGAAACAAATCCGATTGTTTTACAACCTGCTGTTTGTGCACATCACGCTCTTCTGTATGTACCTGGTCATATCACCGCCACCCAGAACAATTACAGAAGCCACCGGCGCCACCTGCGCCATCATCACCACAACAACCGCCGCCGCCGCCGCCGCCGCCGCCGCCACGACCACCGCTTGACGGTGAGGATGCGGGGGGCCCGCAGGGTGGACGACATCGGGCGGGGGGTGGGGGGCACGACGGGGGTACGAAGAAGGAGTTCATTAAGAGAAAAAACGACGATCGAAACGGGAGTCGAGAGGAGCACGCCAAGGCGAAGAAGAAGTTTCATAGGTGAGCTTCTTTTCCTACACAGCAGTCATGCGTAACATTTTTTTTTATTATTATTATTTCCGTTCTTCCGACAGCAAGTGAGAGGTCTCTTCACTTTTGTAAAAAAGACAGCTTGATTGCCGTGTGCATGAATTGCACCAGGCAGTTTATTAGAGATCCACAAGTTCACCTATAAAGTCGTACGTGCGTGTGTGTGTTGGTCCCATCTATTACGGCGAAGGTGACATGACGGTAGATACCACCCCCCCCCCCCAGGACCGATTTCAAGCCTCGATTCATCCACAAGGGGTGTGGTATATTGTGTCACCCATGGCATTCTTTTGTGTTTTGACGTGCCAGCCGGGGGGAAGATGGTCGCCCAGGAGCGCTTTTCGGTGTTGTTGATTTTTGTTTGAATACCCCGCCTTTCCTACGGCCAGAGTGTGCCGCTGGCCCCACGAAAGGCTCACCGAGTACGAATTCTTTTTCGTTGATCCGCGGATTGGCTCGGTCGATGCTAATTAACACGCCCGCACACATGCATAGAGGTTTGAGAAAGCGGGCGTTTTCGTCTGAGCTATTGAATGCGCCCGCACACGTACGAACAGGTTTGAGCAAGCAGACATTTCGTCTGAGGACAGCATCCGCAACAATTACATCAGGGGCGGCTGGATGGGTGGGCTTGGGCTCGGCATCGATGCGTATGTCGGGGATGGGTCGTGGGGTGCGGAGGTGAGCGGTGGTTGTGGTGTGGCCTGTCAAGAGGAGAAGAACGATATTTAGGGAGTTCACGTACCTGTGAAGAAAATAACGAAGGAGGAGCAGAACAATGAGTTAGCTCAGGTACACCTGAAGGGACACAATGAAAAGGAGGAGAAGAAACGATGAGGTAGTGCAGGTACCTCAAGAATATAAGAAGAGGTGGTATGTGCGATTGGTTCCTGTCGACAACGGATTTTCAAGGCTGCTGTGTGGGTTGGGTCGATCGCGCACAGGAATTTTACAAGGAGGCGGCAGGTGGATGGTACGATGATCATCAAAAAGCCCGCGTGCCGGCGTGTGTTCGTGCTTCGCTTTTGCGTGCAAACCACTATGTGCCTCAATATCAAGAATGCATTACGAAAACCTGCTCCTCGTTAGCAAATGGGCCTCCTCATCATCAACTGTTCCCCCGTGCCAGCAGCGAAAAAAACGTTCCTCATTGTCAACAACTGCTGTTCCTCATTGTCAATAAGAACAACCTGTTTCCTCATTCCCAACAACACTACAGCTCTCCACCGACCCCGCTGGTGGCGAGGACGACGTGAGTAGAAGAAGACCGGTGATCATCAACGCCGATGAGGACGGAACGGGGGACGGGCAGGCGAGGTGGGAGCCAGGCCAGCTGTCGAGGCTGGCGCAGCGGCAGCAGCGGCAGAGGGACGAGGAGGACGAGGAGGAGGGGGGGGTTGCGAGGACGCCGATGCTTGGGCCCGACGCCGTGGTGCTGATAATCTGCGCAAACAGGTGTAAAGAGGGCGAGGAGTTGTTGTTTGTTTGGTTGGGGGGGGGGTGTAGCCGTGCATGCCGTAGTCGTTAGACCGTTGACCTCGCATCCCTACAAAGCCGGGGCGGAGCATGTCGGGTTCTCACAGGACCAGGCTCGCACATCACCAAGCGCGTGAGTGAGTTGTTGTTTGTTGGTGGGAGGGGGGGGGGGGGGGGGGGCCCTAGGGGGGGGAACCCCCCCCGGGGCGAAAAGCCCCCCCCCCCCCCCCGGGGTTTTCCCCACCCCCAAAACCCCCCCCCCCAAAATTTTCCCCCCCCCCCCCCGCAAAAAAAAACCCCCCCGCCCCCGGGGCACCCCCTTTTTGCCCAAAGGCCCACCCCCAAAAAACCCCCCCTTTTGGGGAAAACCCCCCCCGGGAAAAACACCGGGTTAAACCCCGTTTTTTTTTAACCCCCCTTTCCCCCCCCCAAAAAAACCCCCCCCCAACCCCAAAAAGGGGGCCCCGGAAAAAAAATTCCCCCCAAAAACTTCCCTTCTAACAGGGGGGCCCCCCGTTTTTCCCCCCCCCCCCTTGGGGGGGGAACCCCCCCCCTTTCTAAAACCAAAGGAACCCCCCCCCCGCCCCCCCCCGGGTTTCCCCCCCTGACCCCCCCCCCCCCCCCCGGGGAAACCCCCCCACCCCCCCCCCCCCCCCCCCCCTGGGGAACAG